ACAGTGGTTGTGGAAGCCATTGTAGTCAGCTTTCCTTGCGCTGATATGCTTGTTGTGAACTGGGGAAGAGGTTTCTCTGTAAGGCTCCCACATTAAGTGTTTTGTTTATTAATAGCTGAAAAAGGCTAAGATTAATGGGGAATGGTATTTCAAGGACTCAGATCTTTATTTTGATTGTAAACCAGTGTACATCAACAAGACTTAGGACCATTTTAGTACTGTAATAAGAGCAAAACCTATTAGATATAAAAGATACCTAAAATCTAGCATTACTAACACAATACTAGAATGTTAAAAGAATGGGGTCTTTATATAAAAGTTCTTAATATAAAAATAAGATTCTAAACCAAAAAGGGAAAACAAAATATAAATAGAACTTTGTACAGGTACTCCTTGACTTTCGACCACAATTGAGACCAGAATTTCTGTTGGTAAACAAGACAATTAACTGAGTCACATCCAATTTTATGACCGTTTTTGCTATAGTTGTTAAATGAATCACTGTAGTTGTTGAGTGAATCATATGTTGTTAAGGGTTTTAAAATTGGTTCCTTAGATCCAGGCTGTGAATTATTATTACTGGATGGTATCTCTGAGCAGGAAGTTCTCTGAACAGGAATAAATTCTACGATTCACTCAGGGGCCTTCAGGATACATATAATGCCTCCCATGTACTCATTTTGCTAATCTATAATATTTAAGAGCTGGAATTTCAGATTAGCAGTGGTTATAAGCAAGCATTTTAATAATATATTCAGCTATCTTTTATGATAACTCAATTATTATAATATTATAGAATATATATTATAATTGTATTATTAAAAAGCTATGATTTTCTTATTCTGCTTCTCAAAGCTAGGAGAATGACAGCAGATGAGGCACACAGATAATATTTCTCTATTATTCAAATAACTTGAGATTGCCCTACATAATTCTGGCATTTTTTAAATTACTGTCATAAGTAAACAGTTACTTTATAAAAATGTTATCTCTCCACTTTCAATTTAGTGTTTGCTTTTTTTTTTATTACTGGACTTCTGTTTAAATATAGAATGAAAAAACATAAATACCAACTTTGACTTGTTTTGCTCATTGATCTTTATGATCAATTTGCTATATATATATTATTATTATTTTCCAGCTGAGATAGCCTTATAGTTTTTCTCATCTGCAGCATCAGGAAAATTCATGCTTCTGATTTTATTTTATAGTTACCTTTCCACTGTTCAGCAACTTGCAAAGAACAAGGACTGGGAAAAGTCTTCACTCTCTACTGTATGAATAGTAGAAGGGATATATGCATTAACAGTAAATTGTCTGATTTACTTATATTCACAGCTTTTTTCCACCCCAAAAATGTTCAACAAGCATCACCAGTCATTGCTGAATCCAAGCATAGCTAGCAGTGCTTGGGTTATAATTTCTGGCTTTACCACGCGGACAATTTCATGCAATTTTATTCAGAGAAATATCCAGATAGGTTGATGGATGGTCTGTCAAGGAAGCTTTTGTTTTAACTGCAAATGTGGACATTGTAAAGACCTGGATACTTTCCCTGACATTTTCCTCAGAGTTTTGAAATCACTGATCTGCCTAGTAATGTAAATACCAAAAAAAAGAGAAAAATCAAAGGGCATGTTTAGTTTGCTTTTTTTAAAAACAAACATTGTAGAAAACCGAGATGCGTAACTGCAGTTCTGAAGTGTACAAGTGACCAGATTTCCAAGGGTATATAACCTGTGACTTGCTAACAAATAAATGTACATATTTATGACTGTTAATTTGTAAGTCAATTTTCCAAGAATTCCAAATAAATATTATATTTAAAAAAAAACAAAACCCTTAGATTCTGATGTGGTCACAAGGTTTGTTTTAATTACAATGTTGTAGCTCCTACTCCCCACATTAAAGAGAAGCAGAGCTCTCTGTTATTCCTCAGCAAATCCTTTTCCATAGAAGGAATTTTGTGAAGAATTTGTTACTATTTTCTAGTCTTATATTATACAATTGAGTACAGCCAGAATTATAGTTGACGATCAATAAAACCCACAATTTTAAAGTTCTCTAAAGATTATTTTGACTGCTTTTTAGAAGGCCAGATCCTGAAGATGAAACTCAAATACTTTGGCCACCTAATGAGAAGGAAGGACTCACTGGAGAAGAGTCTAATGCTGGGAAAGATTGAGGGCAAAAGAAGAAGGGGACAACAGAGAATGAGGTGGCTGGATGGAGTCACTGAAGCTGTTGGCATGAGCCTAAATGGAATCCAGAGGATGGTAGAGGACAGGGAGGCCTGGAGGAACGTTGTCCATGGGGTCACAATGGGTTGGACACAACTTTGCAACTAACAACAACAAAACAGATTATTCATAGAAGAGACATTTCAATCTAAGAGCATCCATGCTATTGCAAATTGTTCTAGAAGGCAATGTTTCCAAAATGCATAAAAGCTTTTATCCATTGTTCATCTACTGGCTTATGTTGTTGTTGTTGTTGTTGTTGCACTTACTGTTTTTTTCCTGCCCAGTATTTCTTTACTAATGTACTGATTTTGCAATTTGCTGTTAAAAATTGTAGCGCGGGCTCTAACTCTTCTCAAAGAGGATTGTTGTCTAGCAGGGTCCATATCAGTGGTGAAATGCAAATTTTTTTATTACCGGTTCTGTGGGTGTGGCTTGGTGGGAGTGGTGTGGCTTGATGGGCATGGCTTGGTGGGCGTGGCAGGGAAAGGATACTGCAAAATCCCCATTCCCTTTCCACTCCTGGGGGAAGGATATTGCAAAATCTCCATTCCCACCTCACTCTGGGGTCAGTCAGAGGTGGTATTTGCCGGTTCTCCAAACTTCTCAAAATTTCCGCTACCGGTTCTCCAGAACCTGTCAGAACCTGCTGGATTTCACCCCTGGTCCATATGACTGGATTCAGTTCATTGAAATGTGATGAACTACCATAGAAAGGATGGGCCTCCTTATGGAACTGAGCTTGCTTCTGATGATCCTGGGCCTTTAAGAAGAGCCTTCACCAGCACTCCAAGGAAACACACATCTCTTATTTCTACCAAGTTTTCTTTCAAGTCTCTCAGTTCATGAGAATTCCTATCACATTGGGCGTTTTATTTTTCTATAGCTCTTATTGTATTGTTGAACAGACAACTGATTATGCAGGAACCAGAGGCATATTTCACTCAAAGGGTCAACAGCAACAGAATTGATATTGGGGCCGGTTCCTGTGAAGAGATTTAAGATCTGCTCTTGTCTGCTACAGCAATCAGGGAAAGCCAAAGGGTTTTGCTTGTGTTGAGAACCTACCGCTATTCCAAGTAAACAAAATCACAATGTTCTTTCAGCTGTGCGATTCTGGTAGTATAAATATGGAAATGTTTGTAAACGTTGAAAACAAAGAATTCAATATCAGGCTTAGAATGCATTTCTCTTGCTTTTAATTTACTTCCAAGGTTAATATTTGTTTTCTCAGCATAAAATTGAATCCCCTTTTCTTGTAAATTGAACTTGCCAAGCTTTACATATTTTCTATGATATAAATAAGATAGACGTTTCACCTAAATAACTATATACTGTGAAATTTCTACCTTCATGCCCTCACTTTCTTTGGCTAACAGCTTAAATTTTCTCTGTTAGAAGTGTCAGTTGGCATAAACACATAATCATGGTTGCTTGTGCCACTTTTCAGATTATCCATGGTAAAAGTTAAATATGTTAGCAACCGGAGTTTTATATGAATGCACTAGAACTTTTCATTATATAGTTTTCTAGTTAAAGCAGAAATGCAATTCATTAACCAAAATCAATGATTATCCATGGATTATGTCCTGCAGCCTAGTGAGCAAAGGTACCTTCACCTGATCCCCTTCCTAATCCACCTTCCTCAGAAATTGCCTTTACATATATATTTGCTACACCACTGCTTCCAGCTTTAATCCATGATTTTTATGTGTATGTCTGTTTATATATGATACATGAAATATAAGCAAAAGAAAATATTAGTTTGCAGTATACTTCTACAATGTCCATTCCAGTCTTTCTCAAAAATGGAAAGGCTTACAGTAGTTATTTATTGATGAATATTTGCATTTAGGAGACACCTCTCATTTTTTTAGCAAGTAGCTTTAACGGACATCACTAGAGAGAATATTTTGATAATAGAATAAAAAATAACATTGTGCTACATACCCAATTCAGTGTATTCTTGACTATGATTTAATTTAAAGCCATATTTTTACTAGATGGGTATCTCAGATGGGTCTCTGAAACTTTCATTCATTTCTGAATATCTCTATTTACTACTATAGTAAATCATAAAGAGGAGTATTTGCCAGGCATAAATACATACAGTATTATATAAAACAAGAAATCTATTATCCAGTCCCCAAACTCAGCTGCTATTAAGGCAGACCAATGTGATGGTATTTCTATTATGTTTGCTTCCCATGCTTCCATTGTCCCTCTGCTCACACAAGTACATATATTGACAAATATTAATGCTGTTTCCCATGCCATGGTTTGTGTAAGCCTCCTTCTCCTCCCACTGCCAATCAAAAGCATCTTCTAGAAAGCAGAATATTTCCTTGACGTATGGGCAGTGATTGGAAACCAGCAAAATTGGGAATGTCACACGAGTTTTTATTTAATGAATATATTTGCATCACACACATCCGTTCCCTTTCCCAGGCTATGAATTTGCATTTCTCCTCCCGTAGGATTTGCATTAACACTGAAATAGTATTACAACAACAACAAAAAAATTGTTAAGCATTTTAAATGAGTGGAACTTGATGTAGTTGAAGTACTTGTTGGCTTCAATTCAGCATAAACAGAAAATCTATTTCAAATGTTAGGGTTTTTTTTCAGATTTGCATCAGAGAGTTATAGCTGCTACACAAGTTATATGTAGATCTAGAGAATGTTTCATCACACAAAAGAGAGTAGAAACATTGCTGAGTTGTGCCTGATACATTTTTCCTTCTCCCTGTGTAATTTCAGACAGCAAACATCCCTCTGGTGTCAGAGCTTGGTATAGATAATGTCCACTTTGATGATTTCTCCCTTGATACGGATACCATGATAGCAGCAGCCCTCCGGATGTTCATGGAGCTTGGAATAGTTCAGAAATTTAGAATTGACTATGAGGTAACCATCTGCTCTGCAGAGATAATCAGCTGCTTTTGTGTTGGCAAAGGAGGACCCATTTGTACTTGTTCTTGTTCCTGATGCAATTTTTCTTTTCCATTTCAGACACTGTGTAGGTGGCTTTTGACAGTGAGGAAAAATTACCGAATGGTTCTGTATCACAACTGGCGGCATGCTTTCAATGTGTGCCAGCTCATGTTTGCCATGTTAACGGTAAGTATGTGAGTAGCAAAAGAAATCGTGTTCCCATCCCTCTCACTTAGGATCTAAACATTGATCAATATGAATGACTAATAATTAAAATTGATATAATTATTGGGTAAGGTACAGGTGCTGAAGTGAATAATGTGTTTTCGCTACAGCAATGGCCTCCAACCTTTTGGGCTCCAGGGACCAGTTCTGTGGGAAAAGTGTTTTTCCGTAGACTGGAGGGTGCGTGGTTTCACCTGCTGCCTACATCTCGTGCATGTACGGATGGGGTTTCACTCGTTTGCGTGGCCTGGTTTCTGCTGCACCACAGACTGGAGCTGGTCCGTGACCCAGGGGTTGGTGACCCCTGGACTGCAACATATTACACATCCTCCTCCTTTGGATGGAATGTTTTTAATAACCTTTTGTTCTGCCACCACTAAATCCTCTTCAGGGTTTAGAAATCTGTAAGGTAACATAACTAGATGAAATGCAAGACCAGTTAAAGTATATAAAAACTTGGTTAACCCAGGAAAGGAAGGACAATTTTTTTTGTATTAATTAACTTAAAAAATAAGTTCACGTATTTCTACACATCATCTATATCTTCTTAATAATACCATACGTTGGCCCTAACATTATTGCTAACTGTATTTCTGACAGCTGAGATATTCCCAGGCTTAGATTCTGGGCAGTTTTTCCGATATGCTTTTCCATGGTTTCTCCCAAATCCTTTCTAAAATACAAACCTGGGAGGAATGGCCATCCAGGCCATCCACCCAGTTTGCAATGTTTGTAGGTTTTCTAATGTTCATGGCACTATGCAGGAACTGAACAATTGGTGGCAGTTGTATAATCTTATTTTGCAATATTCTCATATTGTAAAATGTTTTACATAATAGAGATTATGATTTTAAACACAAAACCTGCCTATGTTCTACTTGCTTATCTACTCAGCTGCCTCCCTACTTAAATTATAAGGTGCAGCCCAATGATTTGGATACATCAAGTCACATGTAAAAAAATAAATATGCAATTTGAGGTGCATATATTAAATATTTAATAAACATATAAATGTAAACATTCTATTTAAATATAAAGATTTCCTATCTTTTAAGTCTTTTAGTCATTTGCATTCAAAGGGTTTTCTCACGAAATGTTGGGCTGGAAAAGTCCACAGATCCTTCCCATTTTTATATACGGAAAGGATCTGTGGATTTTTCCAGCCCAACGTTTCGTGAGAAAAACATTTGAATACAAATGACTAAAAGACTTAAAAATAGGAAAGGAATATTTTTAAAAGGATAACTAAAGTAAATTCCCTGAGAGTTTTGAAACTTAATTGTTTTAAAGGATTAATATCAAAACCAAGTTTTATAGAACTTTTAAGTACCATTTTGAAATAGGTGTCATGCCAATATAAACTTTAATTTACATCTTCCTCTAGATGGAGCTCAAAGGCTAGATTTGTTTTAGGCTGCTTTCTGGAAGTGATTGTAAAGGATTGAAATAGGTTTTGTTCTCTGAGAAACAGCCTTATTTCAATTGGATAAAATAACTATCAGTAGCAGGATCAAATAAGCCTGCTGTTGTTTATTTTAGTTGGGTTGAGCTTTTGATAGTAGATCCAAGGAAGTTTGCATAAGACCCTTTCAAATACTATAGAAGTTGATCCCTTCCCACCCACCTTACCTCACACTTCTTATTCTGCAGAACTTCTGTGTCAGCTCAGACCCTCTTTACAATAGTTGAGTTAGGGGCAGAAATGTTGGTATTCCATTATTGAGAATGTCTTCACACCAATCTGTTTCCCCATAACTTCTATCCCAGTAATCAGAATATAGAATTTTGCCTTCTGGTTGTTGCTGAACATAGCCTCTAGATCAGGGGTGTCAAACTCAAGGCCCGGAGGCCAGATCCAGCCCATGGGGTGCTTAGATCTGGCCCGCAGAGCCACCCTGGAAATAGCGAAGGACCAGCCCACGGTGTCTCTGCCAGTCAAAAACAGAGCTCAAGAGGGCCATATGTGGCCCTGCGAGCTCTGTTTTCACTGGCAGAGGGTTGTAGGAGCCAAAACGGAGCTTGGGAGCCCATTTTTGCTGGCAGAGCACTCGGGCCACCACTGGTGCCCCCCAACACAAGTCACATCATGCTGGCCATGCCCACCCCGGACACACACACACACACACACACACACACCGAGGTCAGACACAAATGTTATGCAGCCCTCAATGAAATTGAGTTTGACACCCCTGCTCTAGATGTTTTAATGTTTTTAATTTAATTGGATAAAACATCAAGCCATAAAGTATAATATAGGGTCCACTTGATAGCGGGGCATTTCACATGTTACAATATTGCAGTAGGAATATTGTCCTTTAGAGAACTCACATTTTCTTTTAAATCCTTTTTTTTAAATTCACTCTTTTATTTGCTCAGAATTTCAGCTGGGACATATAGTGCTGTCAGTATCCTTTGACATATGGTTCCAACAGTCATACCATACTATAACCAAGGAACAGTTGTGTCATAATGATTCGACCAAGTAACTAAAAAACTCCTTTTCAAGATTATTTTAGGTATACTCTTAAATGCTAACCTCTGGTCCCCACTGATACATACAAGAAAGAATTGCCCACCCTGATGACAATATATATATATATTGTGTGTGTATATATATATATATATATATATATATATATATTCATTGATATATATACAGGAATGAATCAGGTAGCCTCAATTAGGTCCCTGGCAACTTTTTTTCCTGGTTTTCCATCTTGCTTTAAGCTTCACTGTAATGTCCTTAAGCTTCAAAGTGTCAGATTTCAGAACAATTTTACATCTGCAATCAACAACATAGTATATCTGTGATTGACTTGGAAACTTTCACTCACTCCTATCCCTCTTGCCTTCTTTACCCATGCTTCTCCAGATATACTGTATCTATTTTTGTCATTGTGATAGAATGGAGAGCAGTTCCATGAAGAGATAAAAAATGTCAATCATTGCATTAACTTGATCCTTAATTAGAAAGCAAATAGTACCAGATGACTAGAGGCATTTACAGAAGGGTCTTTGGCTTTATTCAGAATAACCAAAAAACAGAATAACACCATTAGAAGGAACCTTAGAGATTTTCTAGTCCAACCCATGATCAGGCAAATGGTTGTCCAATCTCTTCTTAAAAACTTCCAGGGTTGGAGCATTCACAACTTCTGGAGGCAAGTCATTCCCAGATCAACACCGTGCCCATCTTTTCATGCTACTGTCTGAGCAGCTCAGTTGTTAACATTTTGCTAAGCTTGGCTCAAGGGTACAGTAACGACAAAATAAAAGGCTTTTTAAAATTGACAGTGCTGGGGCTTCAGGGTAGGCAGCTTCCCCACTCCATTCTGCTTCTTCCTCCATGCTGAGGTTCAGCTACCTCAGTATTTCAGAGACCTCAGGCCCTGCTCATAGTAATCAGCCATTGTTGATTCTTAAGTGCTAAGAAAAGCTATGAGACCGGAACTAAGGATGAGAATGAGATGTGCTGTAAAAACTGGATACTGTACTGATTTCTGTGTCCCCCTGTTGATCAGCTGAAGGAACTATTGATCGACTTTAGGATGTGTGAATATGACAAATGAGAATGGTCCCAGGGGCACCTGAAAGTATTTCTGGGGGTTTGGGATCCGAACATGGTGACTGTGTAAAAAGGTTCTGCATCCATTCAAAATTCAGTTTATAATGAAAACTTACAAACTATTTGCACATGTTCTTCTGCTGCAGATAAATCATGTATAATTTCATTTGTTCAAGACTCCCCATCAGGACTAAGTCATGCTTTCCTTAATTCAGAGTCATTAAAATCCTTGTGTTTAATGCAGGTTAAAATAAAATAGTTATATGAAACCTGACCTGAACTTCTTTACAATCCTGATCATTATTCCTTATTCTTCTACTTTAAAGTATCCTCAAATGAAGTAACTTCAAATGAAAGAATTAGCTACTATCCTGTTTCCCCCAAAATAAGAATCCCCTGATAATAAGCCCAATCGGGCTTTTGAGTGTATGGCAATAAGGCCAAGCGCTTATTTCAGGGTTCAAAAAAATATCAGACAGGGTCTTATTTTCGAGGAAACACGGTATGAGTTTGTCAGATGATTTTTCTTTTAGAAATAATTGACCCTAGTCTTTTTTTTTAAAGGATGAGTACTGTAGCTATCATAGTAATTTGAACTTTGCTTAGCAGGAAGTTAAGCCTTATTGAAAAAGGGCTGATCTATTATTGTCTCCCTAGCTAAAGTTTGTGAATTATACCAGAACGTTTATCTTTCAGTTATGTAGGCCTTCAGAACTAAGCAACTCCTAGCTGACTACCAACAATGACTCAGTCAACAGTTAAACCAAGTATATAGGCTCAGGAACTAAATCTTGGCTACAAATGTAGGTTATAGAAATACAGGGGACCGCTAGATGGTAGCAAAGAAATGCCTACAACTCGAGCTTTCATGCATTCAGTAGCTATATTTACTCAGGGAACTGTAATATGGATAACTTCGTTCATACATTACCTTTTATGACTTCCACTGTGATATATGTCATCACCTGGCAACACTGATTGATTGATTATTTCAATTTGGAGGCAACCCATAGTAAGTCTGGGCAGCTCACAGACAAAAATTAAAAGAAAACAAAATATATCAAGAGAAATAAAAGAAGACAGTTGACTGGAAACCAAAAGCCCCCCAAAAAACTAAGCAGTCAGTAACCAACTAAGGCAAATATCTGTAAAGCAGATAGACCTGGATTTTAAAAAAAAGAAAAGAAAGGAAGAATTATTAACTTGGCCAATGGCTGATTCACTTATTTTTTTCCTGGCCTATTATGCTGCTCACCTCCTGCCTGATTTAGTTAGAAAAAATAGTTGCAGAGTCCTCAACTTATAATCACAACTGAAACCAGAACTCCTGTTGCTAGGTGATAAAGTTATTAAGTGAGTAATGCCCAATTTTTCTACCCTTTTTGCCGCAGTTGTT